GAGGAGTAACTGTTGAAAGTTTGGTTAGAGATTTTGCTAATTTTTCCTTGAAGGAATTTTAAAATGCAAGGAAGGAAGGCACAAAATAAAAAGACCCCAACTGGAGGTCCGAGCATTGGGAGAATCCAGCAGATGAGGGGGTTTGTGAAGAGGCCCCAATAAGTTTGTTGTGCCAATTGCTGCTTTCTTTTTTCTAGTTGTTCCTGTAGCTGTTTATTCTTATCTTTCAGTATCCCTGACTGATTAACATAAAAACAACATTTCTCCTGTAAGAACAGGCAGAGGCCTCCTTTCTCCCAAGCCTTGGCAGTATTTTAGGACTACTGTTGCTAGGGAATCTAATTGATTTTGGAGGGTAAGTATGTACTCAGTCACTGTTCGAGGTCATCTATTACCAATTATATGGACAATTGATTAATTATAGTATGTGAGGGAGGTAGTCAAACCCACTGTACCCGTTGTCAATCTTGTTATAATTCCTAAAGTAGTGAGGAGAGACATGAATTACATCACACGTTTGGTCTTATATGTGTCATGAGAGGGATTGGTATTTCTGTATCTCCTGTAACTATGTCTCCATAGGGAAACAAGAGAAAAAGAGTACATGTGCCTTGCCAGTCAGGGGGCAGACAGTGGTATACAGTTGTCAGACATGAAAGTGATGCCTCGTAGACTGAGCAGTGGCCCTTATTACTTTTTGATATAGAGATTGTTTGTTGACATTGATTCTCAGGTAACTTTCCTACTGGTACATTCCCCGATGACTGAAAACATAATGGAGCAGCCTTGTAGAGAGGGACCACTGAGAGTTTGACTGTGGTGTCTTGAGTTGAAGAGTTCTCCTTGAGTTTAACCCAAGAACGATTTATCGGGTTTGTTATTAGTTTTGGGGATTCAGTTCTAGCCTGAAAACACAGCCAACATCCCTATACATAGTTTGTATTATTAGTAGTCTTTAACATATTGAGAGAGATATTGACAAGTGTAAGAGAGAGAAGAGGATCTTTGACTCTTTTTGCCAGGCAGCCAATTGGGTATATCAATCATCATCTTTCAGCAATGCTTCCTGTTGAGTTTCCAGACACTTGGACATGGAATGGGGAGAGCCGGGCCCGGGCTTTTACAAATGGCCATACAATATTTATTGTTATTATGTTCACAGGCCTGTGGATCACCATGAAAACAGTTCTTTGGAGGGGTTTCATTGAAGAATTTAAAACTCCCCCTAGAAGGAGTTTGGCTACAGTTCATGGGACAGAAGAGCACAGGGTTTAGCCTTCCCTGCACTATGCTTTGAAAGAGAGTTAGCAGGTATAAAGTCAGTAGACATAGGTCCAAAAAGAGTGTGGGTGTACTGTGTTGTTGTGGGTTCCTAGATCCTATTGGGAACCCCATGCTTATGTGTGTTCTTCTCCTCCAGAATGGAAGGGCAAGTTGTGCATGACTGAAAAAATGGATCTTGAGAGGGTTATCTGGGGATACCTTATAGGTAAATCTAGGTATTGTGGAGGTCCTGTAATGTTAGGATCTGTGGTGAGATTGTCTTCTGGAGGGCATGCTGCCAGTTTTAACCTAGAAATATGAATCCAGGGGGTTACTTGCCTTCCTCCCTCTTGGAGTTTTGCAGCATTGGATGTACAAAGGACTACTTCTAATAGTCCTTCCAACTTTAGGGTTGGGGGGAATCTTTCTCTTGGGGAAGAAAAGTAGATGTATTTGCCTAGTTTGAGGGTAATGGAGGCAGCTGAATTCTCTGGATATGGAAGCAACAAATCTTGTTGCTTTTATAACTCTGAGCATATACGGAAGAGAATGGGAAGAGCATTTTGGTCAGAGAGGTGCAGGGCACTGGTGAGACTTAACAAGCCAAACAACCATTTACCTCTCCAAGATTTTATTACCGGAGTGCAGTGGCTGATCACAGAAGGGAAGGGGGGGTTGAGTGAGAGAGAGAGCATAAGCAGGGTGTTGGTATTTATGGGATGAACACGAGGTGAGAGGGAGCAAAGGGGAGTGGGCTGTTACATTTTTATTGGCTGAGAATCTGTGCCACTTCAAAGGTAAGGGGATGCTCCTTTCAATGTTTGTGCCCTTCATAGGGTTTGGAGGTGATGGTTTGCACACCATTCAGAGTCCCCGCCATTCAGTGAATCATAGACCTGAACTCCCAAAAGAGAAGCACTTTGGGTATGATCTTTACCAACAGGAACCTTTATTTAACACAGTTTTTTTTTTTTTTTCTTTCTGGAAGAATTTAGGCTCTTTGAAGATTAATATTTATACTCAGCAGTAGGAAATTTTATTTTTTTATGTCTTCTTTCTTCTCTTCCATTTTCTGTTTTTTTTTTTTTTTTTTTCTTTTTAAAACTTGGTTGAGAGAATTTATTCACCAGACTAATCTTGTATGTTTTCTGTCTGAGGAATCTTTTCATTGTTATCTTCCAGGTTTTAAATTAGGCTTCTAAGAAATATTTTTTTTCTTGTTTTTAATATACAAAGTCTCTGCCTTATTTTTTGAGTTTTGCACCTTGTGAGGTATGATTCATTGAACTCATGTTTGAAAGGAAATAATCTTTAAGTTAATAAAATTTTAATTGTGTATTCTGATAAGGAAACTTAGTTTTAAAATTACCTTATCTGCCATAAAATTTTAAATAAAATAATTTTAAATGTTAAATATTCAAAATAATTTAATTTTCTTTCTCATTTGGTAATATTTGTCAAGGCAAAATAATTCATGCTGTTTTTATTATAATTTTATTCTGTGAAATTTGCTTTGTCATTTATAATTCATGTAGAATTATTCATAAAAATCTATCACTTTTTAAAAGATATCTGAGTTATCCAAAGAGGCAAGGTAAATAAAATTCAAGTTTTTTTTCATATATAATATAACTTTGTGAGTATATTTTATGATGGTAAACAGCCTTCAAGATGGAAAGTAGCCCAGACAAATGTGCTGAAGGGGAAAACTAACTCTGAAGGCTTATGCCTGTTTACAGCACACCATAAAAAAGTGGAGGTTTTTAAGGCCTGGAAGACTAAGGTGGGCATTTTCCTGAGAATATATACTCTTGTGATACTCACAAACTTTAGAGGAAAAGCCATCTATTAAACTCTTGAAGTGCAAGGACCCCTTAGTTCTGAGACACATCTCAGACATGAGTCATTTAAGAGAGTTTCCTGATAATGAGCTTTTGTTCACATTAGACTTTTTAATGTGGTTTACAAATATTGATTGATTTTAAAGTCACTGAGATGTGAAGATTCTGAACATTTATTTTGTCAAATATAAGGTCTAAAACATTACCCCTAGTGGACAAAAACACAATCTCTAGGGCATATTTTCCAATGCTGTTGAATCTAATTAAAATATACATTTAATGTGCCAAAATCTTCTCTAAATTTTTAAGAAACAATTTAAGTGTCTCAGCATTATGATTAACCATACTTAGAAAGTCATTTCAAGAACTGTAGAGTCATGCTTCCAGTAACAGCCAAGGTGATATCATATTTAAGTAAATAGTGAATTTTTAGGTTATTTGGGGTATAAGGTACAAATTCCATTAAAAGCATTTGAAAAAAGAAATACAAACACTGTCAGAAGGAGTCCTGATATATAAAAAATAAATCAGTAAAATAAATAAATAAATGGATAAAAATTTCAGACCAGGTATGGTGGTGAATGTCTGTAATACTAGTGACTATACGGAATGAGGCATGAGGATCACAAGCTCAAAGCCAATCTTAGCAATTTTGCAAGATCTAGTCTCAAAATAAACAAACTAATTCTCAATGACATCATGAGAAACAGGATAAAAAGTTTTAAGTTAGCATCTTACTGGACTCTAGATTCATTCCTTGACCTTTATTCTTTTGCTATTCATTCTCTTATTTTATATTTTCTACTGAAGTTCTTTCCAGAAACACAAAACCCTCTTCTTCCACAAATTATTTCCAGGAAGGACAATCTCTGTAAATCTTCATTCCTTTGGTAAGGATTGTCAAGCCTTCTATCGTGAATTAACAACTCTATTCTCTTCTTTAAGTCTGTTCTTTGGCCTGTTTTTCTGTCCCTCTCTTCATTGTGATTCATGACTACATAGTTACATTTATGGTTTACATTGCCTCTTTGCCTTAGAACAATTAAGCCTGATGCACACTTTTCTCTAAACCCCAAAACTCATGCTTTGGTTTTTCTTTGGGGTCAGCTACACCACCTGAGTTGATACAGGTCCTAATGCCAGCAGATTTCTCTTTTATTCAGTCCTAGATTTCTCCTTATCATGTATGGTGCTAAGGATTCCTTGTGCTTAGTGCTTCCCTCTTAGTAGGGTTGCATCTTATATACCAGTTTTGATGTAATGATATATCTTCTTTCAAATGTAGTAGAGGTAAAAAATGGATTTGATATTGGGTCTTCATAGAGATGAGTGACTGTAGTTTATACCTGTTGTGCTATGAGGCCTTCTTCATGGTATAAAAACATAGTCTTATTTTCTGTTCATAAAATTGTAATCATGAAATAAACAAACCAAGCCTCATGAAGTTCTGATCTCATTTAATTACTATAAATACTACATGTCTACAATACATTGAGCATTTGCTGTTTTTAAGGGCCACTTTACTTTAGTGAAGTCTAAAAAATTATTTAATCCCATATAAATAAGGAAAATAATATTGGGCACTATCAAACTTTACAGAAACTCTGAGAGAAATTATTAATGATTGACAGATGATAAAACTGAGATTCCCAGAATACTTAGTTGATTTATCATAGTTTATAGAGTTACTAAGTGAGAAAACCTAAGACATATATAAAACATATTTTACAAACTCTTATACCTAATAAATTATGAGGCCAGACTTTGATTTTATTGGCTTCTCCATTTAAAATTTTTATTTTAGAAACAATTTTATTAGAACAAATAATTGTATACCTGATTACAAATATCTAAAGAAAAATTCAATATCTTCAATAACCACAATGCTCATAAAACTGTGTAAAGTAGAATTTTAATATCTGTACATAAGATCTTTAGAAAAATAAATATTATAATCTGGTGGTTTTAAGCATTTTTGGAATTGTGCTGTTATAAATATTGATTTAGCTGTATCCTTGTAGTATGCTCTGATGCTCTTCAGTAGAATAATGGATAAATAAAATGCACATTAATACACAATTGAATACATTCATGGCATTTTCAGATAAATGGATGGAGTTGGAGAATATAAATCTAATAAGTGAAGTAAGCCAATATTCAACAAAACAAATGCTGAATATTTTCTCTGATATAAAGATTGTGATTCAAAATTGAGAGGAAGGAGGAGGACGGGAGGAATAGACAAACTATAGATAGGGCAGAGGGGAGGAGGAAGGGGACATGGCAATAGGAAAGGCGGTGGAAAAAGAAACATACCATTTCCCTAAGTAAATGTATGAAGACACAAATGGTGTGACTCTATGTTGTGTATAACAAGAGATATAAAGAATCGTGCCATATATGTGTATTATGAACTGAAATGAATTCTGCCATCATATATAAGAAATTAGAATAAATTTTTAAATATTAGATTATAAAAGAATGTGAGTGAATGCAGAAGAAATAAAATATTTTAAATAAAAAATCTTAATTGTATGTCTCGAAAATATTACATAAGTTCTCTTATGAAATTTGCAATACCCAAGATTAACTGTAACTTATTATGTGAAAAATAAATTAATAAATAAATTAAAAATAGAAAGTTATATGTTTGGGCTAGGATTACAGTTTCCTGAAACTTTGTGTGCAGAATATGTAAGGTAATGTTCAAACTCATCACAAAAAGAAGATGTTAAGGTGAGATGAAATTAGAAGTTGTTTTAGTCAGCTTTATTTTTTTTTTTTTACCACTGTGACTAAAGAACTTGACCAGAGAAATTGTAGAGGAATAAAATTTTATTTGCAGGCTTAGCTTTACAGAGGTCTTTGTCTATAGAAGACTGCTCCATTCCTTAGGGCTCAAGGTGAGGCAGAACTTAATGGCAGAAGGGTGTAGCAGAGGGAAGAAACTCTCATGATGACTAGGAAGAAGAGACAGATTCTCTGTTTTGAGTAAATACATAAATTTATACTTCAAAGCCACATGCCCAATTCCCACTTCCTTCAGCGACACATTGTCACTTCAGTTACCACACAGGTAATTTATTCAGGAATTAATTCACTGATGACATTAAGGCTATAACCCAATCATTTGTATCCCAAACCTCCCTGCATTGTCTAACAGGGGAGCTTTTGGGGGACACCTAACAACTGAAACATAACAGAAATATAGCAGAATGTGAAGCTTCTAACCATCTCTCCCTTTACTGATACACCGAATACACATATACTTATGTTATGGATCCTTATTTGACAAAGTCATGAATGAATTCAGAGATGTAGGTACATTGGACAATAAAGAAAATAACTACAGTGAAATGAGTAGGAAAAAGGTGGAGTAGACCTGGATATTTGAATTGTCGAGTGAAGTGCCACATATTTGGGACAAAATTCCCCCAAAGTCAGGGGACACCTTGAATAGAGGGCTATCAAGATATATAAAAGCGACTTTAAATATTTCTGTAATTTCTACATTAATTTATTCATTGGTTATAGAAGAAGTGATATATAAGTATAAAAATGACAAAGTGGTGGTCTTCTATGAACAAGTAAGTCTTTTCATGTGTTTCACAACCTGAAGGCAGAGAAGTTAAATCTCAAAGGTGTCAGTTTGTTCCAAGAATAGACTTACCAGTGGTTTTCTTACTTCTGTTGCTGGAAAATTTGCTTTTCTTTTGATTTAATTCTGGGTTCAAGAGGTAAAATTAAGCAAACCACTGATAGACTCAGTGTAACTTGAGCACTTTCTGAGCCCTGACCTACCCTTGTTTACCCCAATAATAATTTTAAGCCTACCAATTGTTTCCAGAAAAAAAAAGTTTCTCCATGCACTGAGTGTCTAACATTAGCAACTTCTGTTGAAGAAATTTTATCCTAAACTTCCAATATCTATAAGCAAAGGAGATTGAGCATGTGCAAATCTTCATACATAGCAAACAATTGGATTTGCATTGTGTGTAACTACATCTAAGGACTAAAATTCCCAGCAGTAGTGTTAGAAATGTGTTAAAAATTAATGATCCCCCATTGATCAGAGAAAGTATTTAAAGCACACTCTGCCTCTGGCTACTTGACAGCCTAAATTCTGACAAGCTAGTATCAGCAATTTAATGCATCAGTCAAATGGCAAAATCCTACACCCTTTGTAGTTTTGTCAGAATACCTTCTAAAAAAATCCAAAAGATAGTGGCTGTGGTTCTGGCTTAGTTGTACAGCAATTGCCTAATACATGAAAGTCACTGGTTTAAGCCTCAGAACCAGATAAAATAAATAAATAAAATAAAAGGAATTTGTCTGTCTCTGACAAATAAATAAATAAATATTTAGAAGAAGAAACAAAAATGGAAAAAATAGTAGATACTCCAGAATATATGAGCATAGATATAAATAATCAGTTGTAAAAATGTTGGTGAGAATATAAATTAAATAAAGCTGTTTTAGAAAATGGTATTCAGGTTCTTCAAAAAGTTAAAATAAAAATATAGTTAAATAAAATGATCCAGTACTAGTAATTTTGAATATGGATGTAAACAAATTAGAGTCATTACATCATAGAATACATTGCACTTCCATTTTCATGATAGTATTATTCACAGAGCCTTGTAATAAAAATTGAAGTACCTTTAAGATAAGTGGTAGGTTGGGCATGGTGCCCCATGCCTATATTACCATTAGATTTATAGGGTGAGGCAAGAGAATCATGAGTTAAGAGCCAGTCTCAGCAACTTATCAGTGAGGCACTAAGCAAAATAGTGAGAACTTGTCTCTAAATAAAGTAAAATTTATAAAAAGGGCTGTTGATGTAGCTCAGTTGTTGACTACCTCTAGTTTCAATACACAGTCCCATAAATAAAAAGTAAATAGGCCCAAAATGTTTACCTCATGCTTTATTTTACCTGAAACAATTTACTTGCACCCTTTCTGGCTTAACTGGACAGGTTATGTAACATTTCTTAACAAATGGTTATCTGCAGAAAAAATGAAGTTTCAAAATAATGTTTATAAGAAGAAGCCAAGTTACCCTTAAGGAAAGATTTTGTGACTCTGTACAGACCAGATTCTGAAACTAAGGGAAGTAAGGATAATTTCTACTAATCATAAAATCTGTAAGAGATTATTGTTAAGATTTCAATTACACCAGCAATGTACAAGTGTACCCTTTTCCCCACATCCTCGCCAGCACTTGTTGTTGTTTGACTTCATAATGGCTGCCAATCTTACTGGAGTGAGATGGTATCTTAGGGTGGTTTTGATTTGCATTTCTCTGACAGCTAGAGATGGTGAGCATTTTTTCATGTACTTGTTGATTGACTGTATGTCCTCCTCTGAGAAGTGTCTGTTCAGGTCCTTGGCCCATTTGTTGATTGGGTTGTTTGTTCTCTTATTGTCTAATTTTTTGAGTTCTTTGTATACTCTGGATATTAGGGCTCTATCTGAAGTGTGAGGAGTAAAGATTTGTTCCCAGGGTGTAGGCTCCCTATTTACCTCTCTTATTGTTTCTTTTGCTGAGATATTCCCCTTCTTGGTCTATTCCCTAAAGACCTAAAAAGAGCAGGCTACAGGGACACTGCTACATCGATGTTCATAGCAGCACAATTCACAATAGCAAGACTGTGGAACCAACCTAGATGCCCTTCAATAGATGAATGGATAAAAAAAATGTGGCATTTATACACAATGGAGTATTACTCTGCATTAAAAATGACAAAATCATAGAATTTGCAGGGAAATGGATGGCATTAGAGCAGATTATGCTAAGTGAAGCTAGCCAATCCCTAAAAAACAAATGCCAAATGTCTTCTTTGATATAAGGAGAGTAACTGAGATCAGAGAAGGGACGAAGAGCAGGAGAAGAAGATTAACATTTAACAGGGATGAGAGGTGGGAGGGAAAGGGGGAGAGAAGGGAAATTGCATGGAAATGGAAGTTGACCCTCAGGGTTATACAGTGGAGGGGGTAGAGAGAGAGGAGGGGAGGGGAGGGGAGAGGTGGGGAGGGGGGAGGGTGGAGGATGGGAAAGGCAGGGGAGCACAACAGACACTAGTATGGCAATATGTAAATCAATGGATGTGTAGCTGATGTGATTCTGCAATCTGTGTATGGGGTGAAGGTGGGAGTTCATAACCCACTTGAATCAAAGTGTGGAATATGATATGTCAAGAAATTTGTAATGTTTTGAACAACCAACAATAAAAAATTAAAAAAAAAAAGATTTCAATTACAAATGGTGAAAATTATCTTAATTAATCTAAAGTTTTCATGGCAGTGGATACTTGAGAGTTTGATGTTATCCTTCTGTTAGTCCAAAGCCAAGAATTTTACCTGGGCAGAACTATTTGGAATATTTTCTTAGATCAATAATACTGGAGTACAAGAGAGTCATGCTATTATCTTTTCAGAGAAGACATTCTGTCTTCCTTCAGAGTGTCCTCTTTTCCCTGCTTCACATCACATCTAATAAACTCATTGCCTTTCAATCTGAGTGATAAGTTTGAAAACTTTATTTCTTGATTGAAAAAAAAAAAAACCTGCATTTGAAGATGGGGTTGTCTTCACATTACCTCATTTTCCCAGGAGATTCCAGCTCTGTCTCACTAAAAGATCCTTGCCAGCTTCAGGGCTTCCAGAGACTCCTTTGAGTGCCCTCAGTCCCTACTTCATACTATTCCCTAGAAGGCAAAGACCCATATTCATGAGACACTCCAGCAGACTTTAGACATGGTGTCTGTTTAAACCTTGTAGAATGCAGTTATTAAATCCATAATTAGGTCAATATGGGAAGTTAGGATAAGGAAACATCACACAGAAAACTTTTCAAAAAGGTATTTCAAATAAGACATTGTGATAAGTTATCTGTTCCTGGGAAGAAAAAGGGAGAAGAGACACATTGTTGTTATTTTTCAAATTGTCAAGTTCCACTTTTCTGGTTTTTTCTAATATGAAATGTTTACAAAAAGAAAGAAAAGTCTTTAAATTGCCATCCAGTTCTTGGAGAAAAATTAGAAACACTGCATCCATTTGAAATGTACGTGAAAAGAATTGATAATGCAAAGAGGAAATGCTGGCATTAAAAATGTGAACAGAGCCGAGTGCACTGTTGCACTCCTTAATCCAAGTGTGTTGGGAGGCTGAGGCAGGAGGATCATAAATCCAATGCCAGCTTCAGCAAGGGTGAGGTTCTAAGCAACTCAGTAAGGCTCTTTATTTAAATAAAATAAGAAATAGGGCTCAGGATGTGGCTCAAGGGTTGAGTGAGCTAATAAGTTTTAGAATAATTTATTATAAATCAAACCCACTTACTATAGGCTGGATGTCAAGATTCAGTCACAAGTTCCACAGAAGTCATATGGAAAACAGATGGTGTCTTATAGATAATGATTTAATTTTTCTATCTATCTATCAATCTATCTATCCATTCATCTATCTCTCCGTTATCATGGAGCTCTGTAGGGAGTATCTATAAGTCTTATCACCTGCTTTTTTTTCTACTAGGAATTGAACTCAGGGGCACATAACCACTGAGCCATGCCTATTTGTATTTTATTTAGAGACAGTGTCTCAGTGAGTTGCTTAATGCTTCAAAATTGCTGTAGCTGGATTTGAACTCTCCATCCACCAGCTTCAGCCTCTCTAGTTGCTGAGATTACTGGAATGCTTGAGCACATGTGGCTGATCCCCAGTCTTTTATCAACAAAAATAGAGCAGTCAAGAAACTGTCTTGCTGACTTGATTTATTTCTGGGTTGGATGCAATTTACTGTCACTCCAACAGTAGACATACCAGGCTCAGTTTGAGACAGTGCCGTATCTCTTTCCAATAGGTCTCTTAGTTAAGAACTGTTCAATCCACACACATCCAGTGATAATGGGGAGGGCTTCCACAATCATCTTTTACCTTTGTTTTAGGAGTATGCCATTCTTTGAATCCATTTCTCTGCTTCCAGTCCTAGATCAGGAGCCCCAGGTTTCTGCACTACACAGGAGCTGAAAAGAAAAAAAAAATATTGAGGGAACACTAAGCATACTGAAAGACAGGAAATAGTATGTGTGCATTTTTATTTTAAGGCTGGGTAGGGAGAATGCTCAAAGCCAGCGAGACTGGCAATGGCGGGAATTGGAAGTGGTGGCCAGGGACTCCTCAGATTTCCCTCCAGTTTTGGGGGGTCAGAGGGTTTCTCTGTTGCAGCTCAGTTTTCAGTTTTCTCAGACTAGTCTAGTGGATCTCAGATCAGCCTTTAAGACCCCAGGCCTTCTGTTCCATCGTTGTATTGTGTTTTCAGCACCTTTTTGGATTTCTATTTGGGCTTCTGTGTGAAAGAGCCCAGCATGTCCACAGATTGTGTGGTGAAGACTGGAATAATCGTCAGGAGACGACCTCAACTCTATTATCTGGGTTTCTGCATATTATAAGCTCTAGTTTTTAGAATCCCTGTTCTTGCTCCTCCTGAGGTTTTTTGTTTGTATGTTTGTTTGTGTTTGTGTCAGGAATTCAAACCAGGAGTGTTTATATACTGACCCATGTCCCCAGCCCTTTTTATATTTTTTATTTAGAGACAAGATCTCACTGAGTTGCTTAGCACAATACTGTTTCTGAGGCTGGCTTTAAACTTGCCATCTTTATGTATCCTGTGATTTCCAAATGTAGGGTAAAGAGTATCTCAAATCCAGAATAGCTTTCTGATATCCAGAACTCCTATCTGATATCCAGAACCCCAGCTAAGCTCTCCATTGTTCTGAGAATAAATCCAAGCTATCTTTTCAAATTCTCAAATCCAAGGTTCCCTGCTCACTTTAAATGAAGATAATAAAGAATAGATAGTAAAATGACAAGACAGCTCTATAATGGACAACATTAAACCACACCTGAAGGCTAATGGATAGATATGTTTAAGAAAACCATTAAGCCCTATTTCAAATGTAAAAACCCTTAAGGCTCACTTGTGGGTATGCCTTCACCCAAACACTTTGTCCCAGGTGTGAAGCCAGATGGAAGTTATGGGAAGGTGGATGGGATAAAGAATGGAAGTGAACCCAGATGATAGCCAGGATACCTTTTTCTATATCTATTTTTAATGGATTTTGCCCCTGTTCTGCCCAAAACCATATATAAACTCCAAAGCTGGCACACCAAAATGAGTTCTTCTTTTATTATGCTCTCTTCTACATTATGAGAGTTCTGTTTCCTCTTGCTTAAATAAATTCTATTCTGTTTACTCTTTCCTTGTTTGAGTGTCCAGAGATTTTATTTTTCAAAATTTTTGAGACAAGGGGCTGGGGATGTGGTTCAAGCAGTAGCGCGCTCGCCTGGCATGCGTGCGGCCCGGGTTCGATCCTCAGCACCACATACAAACAAAGATGTTGTGTCTGCCGAGAACTAAAAAATAAATAAATATTAAAAAAATTCTCTCTTTAAAAAAAAAAAAAAAAAAAAAAAAAAAAAAAAAAATTTTTGAGACAAGATCCCAGACAAGATTGGTGAAGTGGGGAATTTATTTTCATCTGAAAACTCCAGTTTCAACAAGATCATTTATTTTATATATGTTTCATTTGGAAGGGATGACTTATTTGTAGTTTTCTTTTTCTCAAAGAATTGGAGAGCAATTTTTTAAATACTTTATTCTTGTGAGCTTTCCACATTAGAAAAAAAAACAGGAAAAAATTAGGTGATATTAAAAATAATGACTCTCTTTTAAATAAAATTGTATAATTAATGTATCCAAATTAAAGATTTTTTTTTAAAAAAATGTAATGGATTCACAATTGAGGATTTTTTTCATATGTAAGACTGTTTATTAAAATGACCTGTAAAAGCATTTCAAACGTTCCAGAAAAATTCTTTGTCCTGATGTGAAGGAAAATGAGATTTGACTTGATTTAAACTACAGGGAAGTTTAATCACAAGAGCTAAACTACATAGTGAACTTGAAGGTCAATAGCAATATGAATAACAGTGCATTTTTAATAACCTGATTTACATAGATATTAACCAGTAGCCTTAGAACTTTTCTGTTTGGGTTGAATCAATAAACCAGATGTCAGTAAAGCAGTGTTTAATCTCCAACTGTGGTTTCGCTTATCACAGTGTCTGAGGTCAGATTCCCCACTGAAAATTTTACAGTAATTTGGGTCCTCATTTCTATTGATATCATATGAGTATTTGCATCAGAGCTTCCACCTTAGGTTGGCAGTAATTTTTATCTAGGGATTTCTAAGTTTTGATTCAGGAGTCATTTTGTCTAGAGATCCTGAGACAATGCTTCTTAGCCTCGCATGAGAACATGTGCCTGCTAAAGGGTCAACACCCCCAAAACCTATGACATAACTCCTAAAGCATGCTTGTGAAATTCCTCGTGCAGGCTAAAAAATTGCTCTGAAGTGCCTACAAGCTCTCTTCAGAAGGAAAGCCTTGTCAATTTGCTCCATGCTCTGAAAATAAGTCCCTTGCATGGGATTCTGGTGTGTGGTGTGGTCTTTGTGTGAATTCTGTGAGCATCTTTTCAATTTCAACCTCCCATATTTGTCCAGTGCTTAATTTTAGAACATTCTGACATAAGATACCCACAGACACCAATTTCGCTTGACCTATTTAGAAAATATTAGTATCTGAGTCTTGCCTTAAAGAAATCAGTTTGAACAATAAGTGTGTAGCTTCTAAGGAGAGTAGTGGGATATTGTGCAGCTGTAAGGAATCTTCTGATGCATCTTTCATGTAAAAGGCAGCTCATTTGGGGTTGCATACCAGGAATTCAACTCAGGGGCTCTCAACCACTTAGCAACACCCTAGACCTATTTTGTATTTTATTTAGAAACAGTTGCTTGCTGCCTCACCATTGCTGAGGCTGTTTTGATGAACCCTCCATCATCTAACCTCAGACTCCCAAGCCCCTGGGATTAGAGGCATTCTCCACTATGCCTGTCTGGTAGTTTATTTTTTATTTTTATTTCATAGACACTGTGAATAAAGCTACAATAAAAATGGAACAACCGTTATTTCTTTGAGAAAATTTTGCAATTCATTTAGATATACAATTATAAATATTATTACTGGATTGCATGGAATTTTCTACCCAGATTTATTACTTTTCTATTTTATTTATTCAGGTACTCTAGATCAACCCATAGGCACTTTGCCACTGTGATACACCCCAACCTGCTCCTCCTTTGTGATACAATGTCTCACTCACTTGCTTAGGACCTTGCCAAATTTCTGAGACTTATCTTGAACTTGAGATACTCCTTCCTTATCCTCCTGAGCCACTTGGAGCATTGGCATGTACAGCCTTTCTCTTCTACCCCAAATCATTATTATTGGATTATATTGCATTTTTATCTTCAGCTTTTCAAAAACCTTAACACATTTTTCAAAAATATATTTAGTAAATTTATATTGTCACCAATACTTTTACTTGAATATATACTCTGGCATCCCTGTAATTATTCAGATATTTGTTTGCTTTATTTTCATTTGCTTACTGGGAATTTGACCCAGGTGTTCTTACCACTGAGCCACATCCCTAATGATTTTCATGTTTTATTCTGAAACATAGTCTCACTAAGTTGCTTAGAGCCTTGCTAAAACCCTGAGGCTCTCTTTCAAGTCACAGTCCTGAACCTCTGGGATTACAGGCCTCTGCCACAACACCTGGCTTTGGATTTTTTAAAAGCCATACTAAGAGCCCTGCATAGGGTGCAGAATACCTCTTGGATTCATGTACTAAATCCATGAGTCAAGTTTATGTGAAGTATGTAGGAGTGTTGTATAAAGATTTTTTTTGAAATAGGGATTTCTGGTTTCTAACACTTTTTCAGAACTACTATTTGGTATAATAGTCCATACAAGTGCTGGAAAAACAATGCAAATCCATTGGTTTTCAATCTATGTAGATTTGCACATGCTCAATCACCATTGCTTCCAGAGCTTGGAATATCACAAGATAGTAACTTGAACAAAATATGTTCAATTTGAGAAACTCAGTGTACAAGCAAATTCCTTCTGGGAGCAATTGGTAGTTCTGCTTTATTACTGGAGTTAACAGGTTGGGGCTGGGCTCATGAAGAGCTAAAATCTCACTCAGTGTACCAGTGGTTTGTTGTATTTCCCCCTGTTATACCCACAATACAACCTGGAAAGAAGCTCCTCTGATAGCAATAGTAATTGGGGAAAAATTTGGGCAAATTTCTTATTGAGATGAACTAACAGCTTTGATATTTGGCTACTTCATTGCTTTGATTCCACCTGATAAAACACTTGCAGAGACTTTCATGGACCCTAGAAATTACCACATATTTTTTGGGTTAGACAGTTTTGTACCACAACTTCAATATTTCTGTTTACTGTGGGTGACGCTGTTCACTGGGGATTTGGTCCCAAATGTTGTACTTTACTCAAGAAAGAACTAATGCTCAGTTACCCCAGGTTTTTTTTTTTTTTTTTTTTTTTTTTTTTTTTTTTTAATAAATTAAAAGTAGATATTTTCTAAATTGTTAAATGTATTTAAGCCTCTCTACTCATTTATAACCTTGTCAAAGAGAAACTTATAACATGAGTAGCTTCTTAATTGTATTTATAGATGAAGGGAGAGTCCAAAATTATAATATTATTCTTTTTTTCAACATTATCTTCCCTAAATATTTTATTTTTGTTGTGTTGCTAAGTTTGGAACAGAGTACCTTGCACATTCTGCAAACACACTCTACTAGTGAACCATACTACCAGTCCCAAATTTCAACTTCAAATAGGATAATTTCACCAGTCACATCCAATATTATTTTTCATGTGGATAGTTCTTTTAGGTCATTCTATTGCTGTTAACAATAACAAAAATTTATATACATATGGATTCAGATTTAGTTCAGTTTTGATTAATTTATCTGTATTATTGGTATATAGGTTTATAATATACATTAATCTCACATAACAATAATTATTTTATTTGGTCTTCTAAATTAGAGGTCTGAGGCAATTTTACATATTTTTTCTCAGATAAATTTTAGAAAAAATAATTAAGCATGCTAAAATTTTGATGGGAGCATATTATAAATTAAACTGTTAAATGGTTGTCACTACAATTATGAGTTCTATTTACACACATAATGTGTATAATGGAGCATTTTATGTCCTCTTTAAATTTTTGTTTTGTGATAAGTTGTATATAGTTTCCTTGAAAGCCTGTATACTGGTGATGTGTTACACAGATATCACTTGTGTGTAATACTTATGTATTTTAATACCAAGTCATAAAATTAAGATAAAAAATGTCTGGAGATGTGGCTCAGTGGCTAAACAACTCTGTGTTCAAACCCTAGTACCAAAAAATATATATTAATAGATATGAATACATTGATCACTAAAAGTGGGAAACAGGTAGGCACAAGAAAGTATGGCAGACCCAGCAATTGCACACTTGAATATTTATTGCAGAGAAATAAAAACTTACGTTCTCACTAGACTTGTACATGAATACTTATGGCAGTATTTTTCATAATCACTCAAACCTGAAAACACCTCAATTATACTTTGACGCAAACAGCCACATTATCCTTCAATGTGTTAAACAAGCTTTAGTATGTCCATATCATGGAATAGTATGCATTAATCAAAAGGACAAAATATTCACAAATCAAATAGTTGGATGACTGTTCTAGAGAATTATTCTAGTGAAGATGAATTTTTAGAGATTGCATATTTTATTATTCCATTTAACTAATAATCCTAAGTAAGCAAAATTATAGAAATCAAGAACATCTTATTGTTTGCCAATAGTTTGGAAAAGGATTCTGTTGGGAGGGAAGTAAGTGAATAAATAAAATTGCACCATGAACAAGGGAGCATTGTAGTGATGGAAATATTTTATATCTTGACAGTAGCAATGTCACTATGTAGGTTGTGATATTTAATTCTAATTTTGAAAGATGGTATTGTTAGATATCACTCTGTGACATTTCTTATTATATTAAGTGAAGTCTTTATTTTGAGGAAATGTGACATTTTCTTAGTTAGACCTGGAAAATAATAATTAAATACTGTCATTTGATACTTAGAGGGAACTAACTAAAGGGAATATAAGATCGCTTTGTATTATTTTTTGCAGTTTCTAAAAAAAATTGAATTTAAAACAAATCTACACAAAGAAAAGAGTGCTATTAAACAGCATGCATACTCAAATATGTTATGTAGTCAGAATTAGCATGTTTGCAATCATTAGGTCACTACCAAGTATTGATAGGGAAATTTGTTTTTTGAAAATAAAAAATAAAGTTGGTATCTATGCACATATTTTATTTTTTTAAAACAATGTCATTGCTTATGCATATTATAGTTCTGCATTGATTGTATGATAAATAAAACAACAGAACAACAACAGAAAAGAACGAATGTAGAAAAATCTGGTTTATACATGTCTTCTAGTGTAAAACTGTGTGAGACTCTGTCAATATTTTGAAAAGTATGTGATATAAATTAGATTTATGGAAAAGCTTAACAAATTTATCTACATATGATTTTGTCAGGTGTAAGAGATTTTGGAAAGTGTCATACCCCAGATATCTATGGCGAATGTTTTATGATAAGAAAAGATAATAGCTATTAAATATTTTAGTAACTAAAATCTGAAACAATTTTTTTCTTGTTTCTATTCTAGGATACTTAGGTAAATAGCCAATGTTGCAAGGCAATGTTAGGGTGCAGGCAACTATAGTGATAATGACCTAGGTACCAACCCAAGTTAAACCTCCATCATGACCAAGGTATACTTGGTGGTTTCTCTGCTCAACTTGGAAGTAGCTGGTGGTATACAATGATTCTTTTCTTAGCTATAGCTGCACACATAAGACGAGTGTTTGCCTTCCAAATCCATGTTTGTCCAAAAAAATGTATTTTTTTTCCTCTGTAGAAAATTCATTGACTATGTATACATATGTGTCTATTTGATCGTTATATTTTATTTCATAGACTTATTTGTCTACACTTATGCTTTTAGTAAACCTTGAAATCAGATGGTATTAGTTTCCCAAAGAGAGATTTTGTGATATTATTTTTTTCTATCCCAGATATTTTGCATTTTAATATAAATATTAAAATTGATATTTTAAGTTCCCCTTTTATAAATTTCCACTTTTGTAGATACCTTTTTTTGTATAGTCTGGGATTATGATATACTTCAATTCATAGGTGATTAAAAAAGTAATACCTTAAAAACACAGAGACTTTCAATCAATAAATATAGTATATCTCTCCATTTATTCATGCCTTCTGTAGTTTATCTAAGTTTTAACCTAATCTTTTGATCTAGAGATCTTACATTGTTTCCTGAAACATTCATAAACATTTTGTCTCATGATACTAATTAAATTGGTTTACTTTAAATTTTTCATAATACACACATATAATAAAATTTTGTTTTTAAGTAAGTCCCAGCTATACTACTTTTTGTATATTCCTTGGTTTCTAAATCTATTAAATAGAGACAATAATACCAAAAAACTTTTAAGTTATTATGTGTCCTGTGAACAGTTAATAAGAAATATAATTTAAACCTCTAGTGATGACACAGAGGTCCAATGTTATGCTGCAGAGTTATGCTATAAGTTTCACATTCAAAGTTAATTTAATTAAATTACACAGCCTCATTCCCACTTAAGATTTTTTATAGCCCAGGTTAGAATTCAGAGATTTTTTTTGAAAAATGTTGCTTTGAATTGCCTATAAAATTTGTTTTATTTTGAAGTTAATTTGAGCTGTGTAGATTATCCTGAGATGATAATTTAAAAAGAGATGTAGACATTGAGATGATTCTGCTCTCACAGTGTGAATCAGTGTGGCCAGAGTTTACCCACCCTATGTCCCTCAACACCTCACCTCCAAAAACCTCTGCTTGTTTCCTCAGAACCTCTGCATGGTTTACTATTATATTAAGTGAAATCTGTATTTTGTGTAAATGGAATATTTTCTTAGTTAGACCTTGAAAATAATAATTAAATACTTTCGTTTCATAAAGACTCATGCATGGTTCAGGATAGAGTTTCTTTTTCAAGCATAACTGAAAATCATAAGTTCAAAATTTAAAAAAAAGATAATTGGTCATGATATAAACATCAAAATAGTTCATTATCTGAATTCACCATTTGCTGTTTCTTCTCTATTTTTCCAAATAATTCATACCAGTAATGATGAGAATAAACGGAAGGAAGGTAAATGATATTGTAAAATAAATAAAACTATAATAAATTCTATAAAATCAATTTAATTTTATAAACTAGAGAGATTTATTGATGGCATGCTGGCATATTTCTTTTCAGTCAGTCTTGCCACATTACAATACACCCACATGCATATATATATATATATATATATATATATACACACTCAAACACAATTTTTTCTGTCCTGATTAGTATATGCTATTTTTGAAGGCACCAGTGATTGAACCAAGAGCTGCTTAACCACTGAGCCACATTTCCAGTGCTCTTATATATATATTATTTAGCTAGATGGTCTTGCTGAGTTTCTTAGAGCCTCACTGAGTTGCTCAGGGCCTCACTAAGTTGTTAAGCTGGCTTTGAACTTGCAATACTTCTGCCTTGGCCTCTTGAGCCTCTGGGATTAACTACATTCGTTTTTATTATCTGAAAGACAATTTCCCGTGACCTTGAATTTGAACATCAGCAGTCTGAATCAAAATGTTCAGTCATAAGTAATAAAAAAGTTGAATTTAATCATTCTCTTATTAGTAATATTTAGGCTATTTCAAAGTTTTACAACTACAAATAATTCTGCAATAAACATTGTTTTACATAATAAATTTCTAGGGAAATTATTACTGGGTCAAATAATTTTTTTTACTGGCTTTGACTCCTATTTTAATTGAGTTTAATAAATTTAAAAACTATAACTAACTGGTTTCTCAAAGAATATTTTTGTAAAGTTCTAGAATTTAAAAAATTATTACTAGTTAATGATTAAAGGCCTTACTAGTCATTACTTTTAGAAAAGGTGGGAGCAAACACAGTATATATTACTATTTTATTTAACCCAATACTTTTCAAATTTATTTGAACTTGGTATTACTCACTTCATCTTCCTTCAAATTTCCATTCTTTCTTTCCTTTTTAAGGATGTTTCTAAAATCTCCCACAGGACAAATCAGGAATTGTCACTATTAAGTTTCCTGCACATGGCATGTGTGCACACAAGCACACAAACACACACACATACACACCCTCACGATATATTATTTTGCTTTTTTACTTTAGATTGCTCTAAATAATCAGGAGTTAACCAAGCACAGTAGAAGTTAAAGTTATGTCTGGGGGAAGGAAAAGGTAGGTTAGAAATAAAATGAAATTTTCCTTCTCTACCCTGAATACTTGCTTTATATGTTCTTTCTCAATAGTCTAAATTCCTTTTGTGACCTCAAGAACAAATAACCAGTAAAAAGATTTAAAACATGTTAATAAAAACCATATTTTATAAAAGGATCAAGTAGTCTAAGATTTTGTAAGTACCAGCCTCTGGTATTTTTAAAATCACTTTGTGTAGGAAATACCAAAATTTGTAAACATTTTTTTCCAAAACAAGCTATGAATGAAGGGAAATCTGTTTACATAAAATTAACATCCCTTGCTTTTGTTAACATTGTATTTTTTACAAGTTCTGTTGTTTGCTATTGGTATACTTTGCCATCATTTTCTATTTATATGCTAGGTGAGGATAAAGGATTCTGTGTTTTCAATATCTAAACTTGCATACTGTAGGGTTTCTGGTAGGCTTTCAGTAAATGTTTGTTGATGTAGGCCTGGAAGTTCCTAGTCATTCCAAGGGGCATACATTAATGATTGTCACACTCAAATCTTAGGATGACTATGTTTTGTTGAATATATCTTGAAAATATAGGTTATTTAATTTTATATTTATATCTGTTTTGTCTATAAAAAGATTTAAGGTGGTGTCCATGAATGCACATAATACAATAGAATCAAGTACAATTAAAATAAATGGATAGAAAAACAAAATTGAAGAGTTTACACTTTCCAATTTCATTATTTTTGTGAGAGTAATTAATGCAACATAACATTGACCTAAGAGTAAAGATAGAATTTAGTGAAATAGAATTGATATTGCAGAAATAAGCTCTTAAAATCATGTTCTTTTGAATTTTGATAGAGTTGTCCTTTTATCAAATGATTACTCACATGTAAAAAAAAAAAAAACCTCTTAATAAAATTCAATCATACATAAGAATTACAGACCTAATGCTGAGTGGTAGAACTATAAAATTTTTAAAAGAAACCATACAAGAATCTTTATGACATTGGTTTAGGCAGAGAGTTGTTAGACATGACACTAAAATCACAATCCATAAGAAAAAAATAATGAATTTCATTTTATTAAAATTAAAATTGTTACACTTCAGGAGACTGGGAATCTCAAGGAAAAAAAATAAACCTACAGATTGGGAAAAATATTTGCAAATTAATTATGATAAGATTTTTCTATACCTTTGTTTTTGTTTTGTTTTGTCTGTGTGTGTGTGTGTGTATATATATATATATATATATATATATATATATATAGCTCAGGATTAAACTCAATGCCTCACACATGCTAGGCAATTGCCTTACCACTGAGCTACAATCACAGCATAAGATGTAGTTTTTAATACACATTTAAAAAAATATTCAAACCAAAGTATTATGCAAACCAAAGTATTATGTCAGCAGTAGAACAATATATTTATTTTTACTATGTTATTTATATTTCCTTTTCTGATGAATGAATATTATTTTTATACAATTATTATAAAAGTACTTTTAAATTATAAAATCTTGAAACATCATAATAATAACTAATAAGGAACTAAAGGTTAAGCCATTTAGTTATGTACATAATATTTTGTTGTAATGGTAAATATTATCTGGCATTTCTTGCAATATTAATTTAAAAAATCTTGATTATTTCATATTTTTATTTCCTCAAAAATATTTGTGAAGTTATGGATATTCTATTTTTTTTCACTCAACATTCTCTAGATTATATGAAGTACTTTCTAAAGTCATACCTTTCTAAACTCTATACCTTTGAATATTGATGAATGTTAGATAATCTATTAACCTTTTTGGAATTATGCCATTTATGAAACACAATACATAATCATATATCTGAATATAATTCATAACCCAACTTAGTTGATAAGATAAAGATTTAATTTATTATTTATTTTTTTTAGTTGCTGAATATTTACTTTGTTTATTTATACGTGGTGCTGAGAATTTTACTCAGTTCCTCAAACATGCCAGGCAAGTGTGCTGCTACCACTGAGCCCCAGCCCAGACCATTTATTATTTTTTTAGAAGTTCAAGTGGAGAAGTTAAGACAATTTCATACAGATTTATAGAGATATGAACATAAATGCATATTTCTTATCAGTTAATAAACCTGATCAGAGAAGACACTGGAAGTCTGATATTATAATAAGATATAAAATAAAAATTAGTAAATATGATGGGTGGGGCTCACTGGTAGAGGGATTCCCTGGAACATGTGAGGTTGTAGGTATAATCCTCAGTGCCACATAAAAATGAATAAATCAAAATAAAGATATTAGAACAAAGATTCAATGAAGTCTTTTTTTTTTTTTTTTTTTTAGTTTTTCAGTGGGCACAACATCTTTGTATGTGGTGCTGAGGATCGAACCTGGGCCACACGCATGCCAGGTGAGCACGTTACCGCTTGAGCCACATCCCCAACCCTCAATGAAGTCTTTAAAAAGTGAAGAATGAAAATCTGCAGCTAAAATTACACTATAGTTCATTTGCTTAATGCATTTTGTTATTAAAACAACAGATTGTATATAGATTTAGCTTCAGTATCATTACATAATGTAGAACAGCATGCTGAGAAATGATAAACTATACTCTATTAATTTGTACTTTATAAGACGTAACTCTTGTTATAAAAACAAGACTGACTTTGATTTTTTTATATCAGAAGGACATTTTAGATTCTGAAAAACACAGCTGTTATCAAATGTATTGCTTTCCTTTTAGATAAATGTAATATAATTATGAATATCGAAAAAGCATTTTGTTCATTTCTCAAAAAGCTAGATTTATTGAAGTTTTCATATATATACATACATATCATTTTTTGCAGAGATAGAATTGAGGGGCACTCAACCACTGAGCCACATCCATAGCCCTAGTTTTGTATTTTATTTAGAGATAGGGTGTCACCTTACCAAGTTACTTATTGCCTTGCAGGTGCTGAGGCTGGATTGTTTTCATTTGTTTTAGTTGTAGATGGACACAGTATCTTTATTTTTATTTATTTATTTTTATGTAGTGCTGAGGATTTAACCCAGAACCTCATGCATGCAAGGCAAGCACTCTACGTCTGAGCTACAACCCCAGCCCCATGAGGCTGACTTTGAACTCGAGATCCTCCTGCCTCAGCCTCCAGTTAAGCTAGGATTAAAGGCATATGCCACCATACCTAGCTTAGGTTTATATTTAATAGGCTTAAATTTTAGAGCACTTTAGGTTTTAACTTTTAATTATTCTGAAAACTATAAAGCCATGAGAAGATGTAGAAGAAACTTAAATGACTTTTATGTTCACAGAATAATTGTCAGTATAAATATTTCTTCATACACCTTTCCCAGACACACACACACACACACATACACACACACAAATGGCCCTTCTTTCATCATCAACATCTCCCACCAGGGTGGTATAATCTTTTGAATCAATGAGCCAACTCTGACACATCATTATCACTTAATATTCATAGTTAGCATGAGGGTTCAGTCTTGGTGATTGTACATTCAGTAGGTTTGGACAATATATAAATCTGTATCATTCAATAGAGTGTCACACAGAATATTTTTATGGCCTAAAAGTCCTCTGTGCTCTATCTATTCATATCTTCTGCCCCTCTGACTCCAGAAAGCTACTGATCTTTTTACTGTCTTCCTAATTCTGCATTTTACAGAATTTCATGGATTGGAATCCATTGCATTCTTTTCAGATTACTGTCTTTCACTTCAAATAAGCATTTAAGGTTTTTCCCACATCTCCTCATTTATTTTTAAGGCTGAATAATATTATGTCATAAATGCACTGGTTCTTTTACCCACTCACAAATTGAGGACATCATTTTTGATTACAAGTTTTGGCAATGATAGATTAATCTGCTGTAAACATTTGTGTGCAGGTTTTTATGTTAATGTAAGTTTTTAATTCAATTGGGTATGCAGCAAGAAGGGCAAATCAAGATTGTATGATTAATACACATTTGATTTTTTAAGAAATGTCAAACTTTCTACCAGAATTATTTTATACTTTTGTGTCTCTGAACACCATGAATGAGAGAGCACCTGGTACATCTAACCCTTTCCAGCATTTGACCTCCTCAGCATTAGATTTTCAACATTCTGATTCATATCCAGTGGTATTTTAATTTGCAATTTGCTAATGTCTTTTATGTTGAGCAACTTTTCATATTCTTATTTTCCATCTATATATCACATCTGGTCAGATGTCTGTACAGATCTGACCATTTTTAAAACTGTGTTGTTCATTTATTATTATTTAGATTTAAGATAATTTAAATAATTTGAATGAGTCTTTTATGAGATATGCTTTGGAAATAGTCCTCTCTGTCTCTGGCTTATCTTTTATTCTGTTTGACCTTATCTTTCACAGGGCAGAAATTTTGATTTTAACTGAGTTCAACTTAAATGATTTTTCTCTTTTATGAATTTGGCCTTTGGTGTTTGTATCTAAAATGTTATCTTGAAACACAAGGTTATTTATATTTTCTCCTAGTTTATCTAGAATATTTTATCCTTTGTGATTTACATTTATGCATACATTGTATTTTGAGTTAATTTTTGTAAGAGGTATGAGATGTGTGTATAATAATTTTTTGAAATTTATATGTTTATTTTCTGTTTCCCCAGCACCATTTGTTGAAGAGGCCATCCTTTCTCCAATGAAGATTCTCTCTCCTTAGTTAAGATTAGCTATCTTGCTGTGAATCTACTTCTGGGTGATCCTTTGTTTGGATTGTCTTTTCTTTAGTAAATGCCATACTATCTTGATGCTTGAATCTTTATGAGTCCTCAATTGATGGGGCTCCTTTCCTGTATGTGTTATTGTTTTCAAATATTAAGTGTGCAATTCAGTGTCTTTGCTTTTCTGTATAAGGTTTAGAACCAGCATGTCAGTAACACAGTTTAATTTTCTGAGAATTTAAAAATATAATAATAATATTTTAAGTAAGAATTACTTGACAAATAGTAATTGTTTATATATATATAATTTCTTTTTTGATGGTGCTGGGGGCTGAACCTAGGGTTTTGTGCATGCAAGTAAAGCATTGTACTAACTAAGCTATATCCCCAGCCCCTATAATTGTTCATATTGATGGATAAAACTTTTTGAAATTTTGTTTGGGATTGCACTGAATCTGTAGATACAACTGGGAAAAACTGGCATCTTAACAGTTCTGAGTTTTTCTTTTCTGAAGTGTGAAATATCTTTTTTTTATTTTTCAAAAATTTCTAAGTAAAGTTGTAATTTTACTCACAGTGATCTCGACCACATGTCATTAGATTTAAACAGAAGTATTTTATTTTTGGTGAAGCTATAGTAAATTCTATTATTTCTTTTTTGGGGTGAGGGTGTTGCACTATATATTGAACCTAGGGGTATTTAGCCACTGAGCCACATCCCCAGATCTTTTTATTTTTTTTTATTTACTGCACAGTCTGGCTGGGCACAAAATAACCGAGCCACCACATAGCCTTGTAGGTTCAAAACAGGAAGTCCTTTATTCTCCGCACTCAGCCTTCTCCGGGACACATCACATACCAACCAGAAATCCCTCCTCCAGAAATCCCTCCTCCTGCACTTCCCCAACCAATGGGAACCCTCTGGGAATCCCTGTGAAAATGCCAAAGTAGCATGAGAACTCCAAAGTACCAGGCAGAGGTGGACAGCAGGGGTCTAATATACAATTGAATACACAGCTTAACATAACCATTATCATCTCAATGGCTTGCTGACATCACCTCTCAACCACTCTGTTCTGGCAAAAATGCCATGCATCATTCCAACTCAGCTATGGCTCTCAGCATCTCACCCCTTCTGTTTAATTAAACACCAAGCATGTGGCTTAGGGACTTGTCTGTTAGGCTGTCCAGTACTACATATGGTCCTTACCCATCATCAGATGAGCTGACCTCAAGGCATCAGCCTTCTGTCTTAGGTTGGTACCACTGCAATTGGATCTTACCCATGACTGACTACCAGTCCAGCATACAGCCATACTTGTGGATAGGCCTATGCACCAGTGGGGTGTGAGGTTCTTTGCCTCACCTCTGTTGGCCCCCAAATTTTAGACCATCACTAGCAGAAGGGAGGATACAGAAATGCCATGAAACTAAATCAATTGGCGGCTCTTTTTGGAAAAATTGTACCACCGGTGACACCATCAGCAAAGATACTCAGGCACTACCACAATTCACTGTATCAACAGATAGTTCACAATGTATACAAGTGATACACAGTCCAGGCAAGTTCTGCAAGCAGTTCAAAGCAGAGGAATCTACCAATATTTCCATTTCCTCCCAAAGTAAATTGACTCCTTGATTGAGCATTACATGTTGAGTTATTATTCATTGATGCATCAGTTTATACAGTTTACTGTGATAGCTATTGAAGAAGCTGTAGTTTGGTTTTATCTTTGTCTTCACCTTGTCTTCACCGGAACTGGGATGAACATAAAAATTCTGGTAATGATGGGTAAAAAAGAAAATTATGTACCATTCCTACAGGTATTAAGAAAATACTTTTCTGAACAATTTACATTATCATGAACAGAATTATTAAATATAATGTAAAGGAAAGGTGAAAGTAAACAAACAGGTCTGTTGACCTCCTTATTTGTTCACATATTAAAACAATCCTCAACAGCTGTTTACCCAATTTAAATTAAACCATTTAAATCACGTGAATAATAAAAATATTTGGATCCATTATTTTATGAGTGTTCCTCATATATGATATATGGACATATGCACATGCAGACATACAACACAAAACACAAGTGTGCACACATAACATAGAACACATAATAGTAAAGGCCTCGTAGCTTTACACTGGTGAAATCTCCATTGCAATGTTTAAAAACACCACAGTATAAAAATAAAACTGATCAGAAAAACATTAACCTAGGTATGTATGAGCTCAAAAAATAAAATAGAACTTCATGATGTAGGAAAGGGCAATAATAAAATAGATATTGAAAAAAGACATCCTAGTTACCACCTGGTTTGACTCTTTTGTGGATATCCCATCCTTTTTCCTGTAACTTGCATAATGGGTCTGAAGGTATTTCCACAAGCAAGTCCCAAGGATTTTTACATTTGAAATAGGCTTTAATGTTGTTCATTATTCATTAGCATCTAGGTGTGGGAGAACAACTGTTGCAGATGTAAAAATAGCCAAGCTTGAGCACTGGATATCAGCTATTATGGATTTGAGTCAAATTGTCTTCTTTTTGGTCTGTGGAAATCGCTTTGGTTAGTCTCTCTTTAATCCAAATTGGCTGCTGTTCTGCCTGTGGAAACACACAAACAGAACCCCAACTCCAGACAATCACTGGGTCAGGACCTTTCCATTGACCTGTTAAAATATCCTTCCAAAGTACCTTAGGCTTATGTATATTTTTTTGGATACATATGTCTTTCTGCAGCACTAAGCCCTGATAAATCCAAATTTAAAAAGTTTAGAGTAAAAAGGGTTATTTTTAGTTTATCTTTGGGGGATATATATCCCTGTCCAATTCCCTCTTTTTGCTTTAATAGGTACATTTTAATAGTTTTGAGCTCTTTCAAGTCCACATGGGTGCTGGACATTTGGAGGTTAAGGAAACAGGAGAAAAGTAAATAAAGTGCCACGGAAGACAAATGAGATCCACTTAGAGAAAGTGTCCAAGCCTTGCCTGGCACGGTGATGGGTACAGAAAAGACTTCTAATGAAGCATGCAGTTAAATTTCCTGCTCAGAAGAAAGATTCAGGAACAATGTAAGACTGTCCAGTGAAGAGTGAGCCAAGCAGGATCTGCTCTGGTTATACCACCTGAGCACCAGCAAAGGTAGTTTTATAGGCAGAAAACACTTAGGCACACTCTAGAGGAAGAAGCTACTCGGGATCCGGAACCACTCAAGCAGAAGTGTAAAGGTACAGAGTGCAGATCATCCTGGTGCTAGGCTGAGGAAAGGACTGTGACTGGTAAGTGGGAGGGTAAGTTGTGAACTGCATCACAGTGATTGTTTCTTTCTGACTGGCTGAGAAAATGAGAGCATGTGATGTGCATGGTGAAGGACAGACCTGGTGTGTGCATTAAACAGGCAGAAGCTCTGTATGATCTCTGCAAGTCCCGGGGGGCGGGAGGCTACAACATAAAGGACAAGACAACTTCTAAGCCTCTCTTTCTCACCTGAGAACCTGGAACTTGAGGTGCTGTCTCCTGAGTGTTTAGTTAACGGCTAGCCCCTGTCCCACCCCTGCCATGGCACTACCCCAATTCTACTAGCTCCATATATTCTTTGCAAGAAGCAGGTAGAGCAGTCTGCCTGCTGCAGGCCACAAGCAGGACTGTGCTGTGCCACAAGAAAACTCCCCATGTCTCCTACCCTGGAATGTCTCCTGTGGAATGTTGAGGCACAGGGAGCCCCAGAGCCTCTGCTGTTCTTGCATACCCCTGCAGCACAGTCTTGGTTTTGCAAGTGTGGACTGCCAGGTGATTGCCACCAGCAGTGTAGCACGATGACACCCGCAGCTCAGAGCAGCAGCAAGTGTAGGAGCAGGAGCATGCAGCAGAAGGGGCCATCATTACCTAATTGCTCAGGGCTCAGGAGCCTACTCCTACGATGATCGCAGCGCCATGGTTGCAAAGGCGAGAATGAGATACAGTTTCTGTAATTTGTAAGCACCATCTCATGTGTCCTCCCAGGGGAAGAAGTGCCAGGACATTCACTGGGGGGGTTCCTGTAGAGTGACAGTGGGCAGCAAGGCTGGTGGGCCACTTTGCCCCCTGAAACTTAGGAGGCTGGTGTATGTATAGGGCTCACATCTGTGCACTTGTAAAAAGCCAGGGAACCAAGCACTGCGAGAGGATGTTGAGAAGCTTGGGAGGTGCCTGCTCACAGTCTTAAGGCATTGGAAAACCGAGCCTAAGCTGCTTGGACCTCCAGGGTTGCAGGAAAATTGTTGCAGATCAGGGTGGCCTGTGGGTGCTTGGGCTGTCCCCTGGGAGTGCCACTGCCACATGGTCACTTAGGGTTTGGTGCTAAACTCGCTTGCTTTCAGGGATCAATCAAGACTTTGGTCTCTCCATTATTAGCTTGTCTTTTGGAGTGGCAGGCCTGGCGCAGGTATGCTGTATACTGTTGGAAGGTTTCCCCAAAGTCAGGGTCCCCCAAAGCGGGTAGGGGGTTGTTGCTATGGTCCCTGTGATTCTAAGGGCTCGTGTCATGTGGTGCTGTGACCACTTACAGAGCATGGAGATATGGGAAGTTTGTGTGTGTGTGTGTGTGTGTGTGTGTGTATTTATACCTATTTATGTTTGAGCATGGGGGTGGAAATCATGAAGGTGTAATTCTTGAACTACTGGCTCATTAAATGTAGAGACCAGTGAAGCACGTGTCAGCATGCATGCGTGTGTGTGTGCAAGAACAGGGAGGCTGCTTGGAATTATCCCATTTGGTGGCATGCAGGAAGAGGTAAGCACCACACTAACACAATTCTTTCTCCCTTTTTGGATTTCTCCTTCCTCCCTCTGGTTTGTTGGAACACTGTGGATAGATATGTCCTTGCCTGAGGCATTGCTCAGCTCCAAGCTGGAGTTGACAGCCTCAGGACCAAAGAAGAGCTACAGCTTCTTGCTGGGAATAACCTAGTTAGCCTATGCAGGATTCTTCCTTCTCTATTCCAGACCCCTCCTGGAAGGATATCTCTTGCAGGATTTCTAGTACCTGGATCTCTGCTGGCACTTCTTCCCAGCAGTGGAAAAGATCCCATTCTCCCATTGCTGTTCCTTTGACAATCACAGAAGTTCCTAGAGATGGGTGGATCTTGAAATACTAACCAGTTGCTAACTTTTAGGTGTGACAGCCTTGATAATGTATTTGGATAATTTGTATGATAATATTGTAAAGGACAACTTTTTTGGGCTCTGCCTCATATTTTGTTGGGGAATGGACAGACTACCTTGTGCATTAAATTGGGTGGGTGAAAGCTTTGGAAAGGGTGAAACCCAGAACAAACATCAACCTGGGTATGGTCTAACTTGAGCTGCATGCTGACTCATCACTGCTCTGTTTTTTGAGGTACCATTTGCCCAGGACCTAGCTCTAAGTTTCACTGGTACCTTGCTCACAGGGAGTGTTTAAAGATGTCTTACTAATAGCAATACAGTTTATTATTTTTCTTAGTGGAAAATTATTTACAAACTTTTTAAAAATAATTAAAGTCAAATTAGATGTTTCTTAAAACTAAGAAATCTTTTCTTCAAACTAAATAACAAATATTTAGTTGTTGGATTATTTCTACATTCAAATATTTAACCAAACTTGATAGAGTTAAATTAGCTAGGGAAATTTGGATGGCTTTTTGCACTTTGTGTAGGTGTTTGTGCAGATCTTGAAGGAGGTAGCAGTGTGTAGCAGGGATATTTTTTGGTGGGGGTTTAGTATTAATATCTCAAAGGAAAATATACCTTTTTATTAATATTTTGTAATTTTGCTGTGGAAATTCTCAAATGTTTTACGAGCTACCTTGCCTACTGCCCTCATTCCTTTCTGGTTTATTCCTTTAACCTGAGAATGTTGATGGTTCAGAAATGATAATGGGGTTAGTAATGGAGAGCTTATCATTCCACATTAAATTAATCTGTGTTATTCCCTAGGTTTTTATTTATTTGTATGTGTAACCTCATCAATATGATTTCTTTCATCTGTTTTTAAAAAGCAGATATCCCAAGGGGTATTAAACCTTGATAAAATAGTTGTAAAATCGTTGATATACTGGATAAAATAGTTGTAAGCTTAAGATTTCCCAGTAGTAATAGGTGAAGTGCCATGTGTAGAATAAGAAAATGGAGTGATCATTAGGACACGTGTTGTGAAGTTGGCCAGACATCTCACATGTCTGGTTGGAGTATCCTGATAATTATCTCCAGTGGGGCTCTACCTGAAAACTGTGTCTAGCACTTCCGCACATGGAGCTGCATTGCTGTCCACTGTCCACAGCTTTGTTTTTTCTGCAAGAGGGCTGAGAGCACTGTTGAGGGAAATAGAAGTGAAATTGTTAATAGGCTGATTCCAGTAGTTCTGTCTGCTCCTGTAGAATAAGCCTTCATGTATGAGGGTTTTTGTCATTGTTTGGTGCTCTGTCCCATCACCTTGCCATCATGCTGTGGCTTGTGATCCTGTCAGCATTTCTCCAAATGGTGGCCATCAACTTGGCTTTGGCATCTTCCCACCAGCTGGAGACAAGATTCCTCTGGTCTACTTATCCTTAGCGATCCCAAGAGTATGTTGTGTAAACTCTGCATGGCTGGGATACTTATCTTAGATGAATCATGTAGTGAAATAAACCTTAAGCTCAAAAAGGATTTGTTCACTGTCATGTCTAAGTACATCTATCATTTGAAATTTATTGCTTTGTTGTATTTTTAAAATATTAACAACTTTCCAACATAGTAAGAAACGGTAATTTGGTATTTAACAAATGTGGAACATTTTAGTTATGCTTCTCTTTCCCAAGAAGTTTATAAAATTTCATACAAGGAATTGCTCTGACTTTTATAAAAGTCATAATATAAAATGACGTTAGTCAAGGTGGATTTTTTTTAATCACTTGCCTTTCATTTGCTTTGTGCAAGCACAGGTAGTTACATTCCTTTTGGGATGTACTGTTATGTAGTTTTACATTCATGCAAAGATGGGAGTTAAAACTTAGTCCCAGCTGCAGGAGGCATCCTGCTGGAAATGCCCACAACCCTCCTTTGCCCTTTGTTTGCTGAAGGAACCTATTCACTGTAGGTTTCTTCTTAGTGCTTATATATCTTGCTCTATGGTATCCAGAAGCATCATAGAAAGTATTTATCAATTCCTAGCAACAGTCATGCAGTGTCAATGCTAATGCCCGACTCAGTGTAGGCTTGGTGGGATGCATTTTCCCTGTTTGCAGAGGTCTAAATGATTTAGGGGCTGGAAGCTATGTTGCAGCTTGCAGAACCCAGACTAAAACTCAGACACATAGCTAAGAATATCTTCTTAAAGTAAGGAAAGAAAGGCTGTTTGAGAATGTTTTAAGTTTACAGTAGCTTTCTTAACTGTAGGAATGTCACTGGAGACACAGCAGTGTAAATTAGCACCTCTTGCTCTCTTGATAAGGAAATCATGGGGCAGCTTTAGATAAACAGGCACTGAGGTATTTTCTCCAGGAACTGATTGAGAGCACCCCCAGGCTTATTACATTATCAGACTTTTCATTTAGAAATTAGTTTGTACACACTGCCAAGAGGAGCAAGATCTAAAACATTTAGAGACTAATTTATTTAATGTTCATTTTTATTTGTACTTTGGCTTTAGATAAGTGTTCTTTATCAAGGCTGATTTTCCCAAAGATGGATTCCAAACAAAGCTGGGCTGCTCTGCTGCTGTCGAGAGCAATTTTGGACAGGGAAAAAGGAGGAGGCATGAGTTTGTTTCCTACAACTCTGACACTGTGGAAGTATTTTAACTCAGAAATATTTTTTGAGCACCTTTTATATGTGTAGTGTGAAATAAGGTTCTGAGAAAGCATTCAATATAAATAGAGAAGTTATTTGTAAGTATAAATGCAAAGGAAAGGCTTGAATGCTGATTGGAAGAAAAATATGCATATCTGATCTCTAGGCTTAGTGTAGGAAGAGGCCATTGGAAATCATTCCCCAGGCTGCTCCAGCTCATGAACTTTTCAGATAAGAAAACTAAAGCTGAGAGAGCCAAAATGACTTGGCCCAGTGACACCCTGTGGTTGATGGTGGGAGTAATGCACAGTGTATAAAATGTCTGGGGCAGTGCCAGAGATGTGGTGTCTGAGCACAGTTCACTTGTAGATTAGGCCCCCATCCAGATATTCTGTTCCACCCTCAGTGCCCCCTTTCTAGAGTTCCCCATCTTTATATGCCCTCTTGTCTTTCAGCCACTGAAAAGGAAGCTTTCCCTTCTTTCCTAAGAGTACAAACCCTGAAGCACTCTGAATCCTGGGTAACCATGGGGAGTCCATCCTTTTCTTTGCCTCCCTATTTGTTCCTTCTGGTTGACCTTGATGCATGTGAATTCCTGCTGTCTTAAACTTTCTTTGTTTTGCTTCATATAGCTGCTCATCTCCTCTAAATTGGTCTCCAGGTTCTGTTTGTCTCCCTACATAATTACCTAGAATCCATTCTGTGTCAAAATCCACTTTGAAACCTGCGTGTTGCCAGCTGCCTCTGCCTTGACAAATCTAAAGTTTCTCTTCCATCCCTCACCCCTGCCCAAAGTCAGCCAGCCTTGTCTTCCTTTCTGAAGCTACTCTATCTGGCCATACAAACTTGGTACATTCTGAGATTTGGTTATAAATCTCTGAGCATGATTTTGGGGGATTCATTTTCCTCTTCCTTCTACATCTCTGTGGTTCTCTAAAAATATTTTATTGTTTCCTCTTTTCTCTCATCTGCCTTCATGAAATCATTTTTGTCATATAATCTGGGATTTTTTGAAACATGGAAATGAAAAGTTTAATAATTTCATCAGGCTCTGAGAGCTAGAGATAGAAGGGACATCTGGGGTCTCTTTTATGGGAGGTAATCCAATTTATAATGTCTCCACCTGAACCTTCACAGAGAACCCACTGTGTGGACTCTCTCTGATCCAGTGAGGAGGCCCATGGAACAGAGTAGAGGAGAGTGTGGCTGCAGAGATATTGATCAAGATCTCTGGAGACAAATCAGGAAGCAGGTTTCATTTTATTGCACAGTTAAGATTATATATATATATATATATATATATATATATATATATATTTTTTTTTTTTTTTTTCAGGTAGTAGCTAAGCAGATTACATGCAGCACCAATGCAATTTCTGCTAACCATTCTTGCAGTGACCAATACAAGAACAGGCCATGAAGAGAGTGCAGGGATTGCAATATAGATATCAAGGAGGAAATTTTAAAAATTCTTAGATGTAAATGAGAACACAGACACAACAAATTGAAATTTCTGGGACAATATGAAAACAATATGAAGTGGAAAATTCCTTTCACAGATTTCATTCCTTAAAAGAATAAAAAGCCAACAAAAGAAATGACATCACACTGTATCTCAATGCCTTAAAAATAGAAGAAGAAATCAGCAGAAAATGCAGTAGAAGGCAAGCCATAATTAAAATAAGAGTTAAAATAAAGGAAATCAAAAAAAGATACATTTGGAAAAATTGACAAAACTCAGAAAAAATACATAACATTTGATAGACCCTTAGCCATACTAATGAAGAGAAGAAGAGAGAGAACACAAATTGCTAGCATACATGATGAAGAAGGCAATATCAAAACAGACACTACAGAAAAACAGAAGATAATTAGAAATTACTTTGAAACCATAAATCTAATAAAATAGAAGATAGTAAAGGCATAGGTAAATTCCTAAAGTCATATGACCTGCCCAGATTAAGCCAGAAAGATATAAATGACTTAAAGAGACCAACATCAAGTGAGGACATAGAAGAAGCTATCAAAAGTTTATCAAACAAGAAAAGGCTGGGACAGGATGAATATATAGCCAAGTTCACAAGACCTCTAATGAAGAACTAATACTTCAATCTATTTCAGCAAATAGAAAAAAAGGAGTACTTCCAACTTCATTCTATGCAGCCAATATCACCCTGATTTCAAAACCAGAAAAAGACAACTCAAAGAAAAAAAAAATCAGACCAATGTATCTAATGAATATAGATGCAAAAATCCTCAATTAAATTCTGGAAAATAGAATACAAAAACAAATCAAAAAGAACATGCACCATGATCAAGTGAGATTCATCTCAAATATGCAAGGTTGTTTCAACATACCGAAATCAATCCATGTGATTAACCACATCAATAGAATTAAAGATAAGAACCATAAGACCATCTCAAAAGTGGAACAAAAATAATTTGACAAAATATTAGTTCCTGTTATCCTGAGTTTTTCCAGTTTTTCCATAGAGGTGTTCAAAACACTGGAAAAACTCGGGATAACAGGAACTAATCTCAACATCATAAAGGCAATCTATGCTAAGACTCAGGCCAACATCATGCCAAAACAGAGAAATGGAAGGCATTCCCTCTAAAAACTGGAACAACATGAGAATGCTCTGTTTCACCAATTCTATTCAACATAGATCTTGAAACACTGGCCAGAGCAATTACAGAGACAAAGGAAATCAAAGGGATATGTATAGGAAAAGAAAAAACTTATATAAACACTATTTGCTGATGATATTATTCTATACCTAGATGACCCAAAAAGCTCTAACAGAAAACATCTAAAACTAGTAAATCAATTCAGCAAAATAGCAGGATATAAAATCAACACCAATAAATCAAAGGAATTTCTGTATATAAGCCTCTGAGGAGGAAATAATGAATGAAATTAAAAGCTCCATGAGAGTGTAACCAGCAGATTAAACAACTTAGAAGATAGGACATCAGACAACAAAAACATAGTATAACATATCAAAAATAATATAGACAGCACGAAGAGACAGAGCAGAAGCCAGGAACAGAACTTCCAAGAAAAATGAGATTCCATAAAGAGACCAAATTTAAGAGTTATTGTGATGGAGGAAGGTATTGTGGTCCAAACCAAAGAAATGAGAAATATGTTCAATGCAACAATATTGGAAATCTTTTGAGAAATGAAGATTGAAACAGGTATTCAAATCCTAGAATCCTACAGGATGCCGAATGTGAAAAAGAACCAAACCGAGACACATTATAATGAAAATGCCCAACATACAGAACAAGAACAAAAATTTAAAAGCCATAACGGAAAGGATGCAGATTACATATAGGGTACACCAATTAGGATAACGGCTGATCTTTCAACACAGACCCTGAGAGCTAGAAGATCCTGAGACAGTATATTTCTAACTCTGAAAGATAGTGGGTTCCAACCGAGACTCTTGTATGCATCAAGACTAATCTACACATTTGATGATGAAATAAAAACCTTCCATGATAAGCATAAGTTAAGAGAATTTGCAGGTTGATAAGCAGCTAAACACATACTTGGAAAATTTTTTCATGGAAAGGAAATGAAAAATAACAATGAACACCAAGAGTGGGAGGGAGGACACTAAAGGAAAAACTAAGCAAAGAGGAAAATCAAGTCAAGTTAAATAAAAAAAAAGTGAACAAATATGGGTGGAAATACAAACCATATCTCAATAATAACCCTAAATGTTAATGGCTTAAACTCACCATGGAAAAGACATAGACTAGTAGACTGGATTTAAAAAAAAAAAAAAGATCCTACAATATGCTGCCCAGAGGAGACTCATTTGATAGGAAAAAAAAAAAATACACAGATTAAAGGTGAAAGGTTGAAAAAAACCATACCACTCACATGGACTTCAGAAGCAAGCAGATGTGTCCAAACTCATGTCAAATAAAGGAGACTTCTAGCCAAAGTTTATCAAAAGGGATAAAGAAGGACCTCACATACTGCTAAAGGGAACCATACACCAACAAGACATACTAATCATCATGGTGCAGCTATGTTCATCTAAAAAATCTTCTAAAGTTCAAGAGTTAAATAGACCACAGCACAATAATCATGGGTGATTTTAACACACCTCTCTCAGCACTGGAGAGGTCGACCAAAAAATTTGAAAAAAAAAAAAAAAGAAACTATAGAACTCAATAACACAATTAATAACAGATTTAATTGACATATAAAAATATCAAACAACATCTAGAGGATGCCCTGTCTTCTCAGCAGCACATGGATCCTTCTCAATAATAGACCCTATATTATGCCAAAGCTCAACTCTTATCAAATAAAAAGGAGTAGAGTTACTACCATGCAACTTACCTTTTTGTAATGGAATGGAATTGGAAATCAATGATAAAATAAGGAAGAAAAATTTCTTTATCACAGGGATAATGAAAAATATGCTACTGAATGAACAATAGTTTAAAAAAGACATCAAGGAGGAAACAAAAAATTTCTTAGAGGTAAATGAGAACACAGACACAACATATCAAAATCCTTGGGACACTATGAACGCAGTACTAAGAGAAAAATTCATTGCATGCAGTGTATTCCTTAAAAGAAGAAAGTGTCAACAAGTAAATGAGCAGACACTACACTTAATACCCCTAGAAAAAGAAGAACAAACCAGCATCAAAAGTAGTAGAAGGAAAGCAATAATTAAATTCAGAGCTGAAGTCAATAAAATTGAAACAGAAGAAATATTTGGAAAAATTTTCAAAACTCAGAGTTTGTTCTTTGAAAAAATACATGCGATTGACAGACCCTAAGCCATGCTAGTGAAGACAAGAAGAGAAAGCAACCAAATTATTAGCATAAGTGATGAAAAAGGCAATATCAAAACAGACACTACAGAAATACAGAAGATAATTAGAAAGTATTTTGAAACCACAATTCTAATAATAAAGAAGTTAGTGAAGGAATCAATAAATTCCTAAAGTCATATGACATGCCCTGAGAAAGCCAGAAAGATATATACGAATTAAAGAGAACAATAGCAAGTATGGAAATAGAAGAATACATCAAAAGATTACCAACAAAGGAAAGCCCAGGACCAGATGGATATATAGCCAAGTTTTACAAGACCACTCAAGAAGAATTAATACTAATACTCTTCAATCTCTTTCAGGAAGTAGAAAAAGAGGGAGTACTTCCAACTTCATTCAATGAAGCCAATATAAACATGATT